GGTTCTGCGTGACTTTTATCTTCTGTATTTTCAATAAAATCACGCGACATTTATATTCTCCGCTTCAAAACACATGCATCTCTCTGTTATATGACATATGCTAATTAGCTCGTGCGACACCAACATGGCGGACGATAACATTTGATAGGTGTATGACGTCACATGAAAACCAAGAATTGTTATGTCCTCCAAATAGCGCTGCGCAGCCGTGACGTCATAAATACAAAGACAAAGGCGAAATTCGGATAAACAAACTTACAAGTTTACTTTCAGCAGATAATTTTCACAGCCGATCGCAGTTGATCTTAGTTTACATGGATTATTATTGTAAATTTAAGTAAAAATAAAAAAATCGGTTCGTATAATCCTCGTAGCGGTTAAACAGAATGCAATGTTTGTCCGAATCTTTAAGCTATTTTTAGAATCAGCGCGCTGCGCTATTAAGCTGCATTCCAAGGACTGCAAGGGGTGTATTGCATCACTACAAATTTACGCTATCGCCACCCCCATCTAAATTCACCCATGCCTTAATACCATAGTTGAACGCCCAAGGATCAAAACCTTTGGTAGGTATAAGATGACATAAATTTAGCTATTTATCTAGGTTAGCCATTAACAGTTACTGTAAATAGCGTACATCTAAATAAATGTTACTTAGCAATTAATCCTCAATTAGAGAGAGAAGAGCGAATTTTGAAAAAACCCACTAAACGCCATAAAATCGCGCCGAAACTTCACCAGAAGACTGAACAAGGTTCAAGCAACGACTGCAGCAAGTTCTGAAGCAAATTGTTGAGTGAAACATTTTGTTAGCTTCATCATAACTCCCATACATTCCATTATAAAACCATACACAGGAACCTTGTTTGGGTTGCCTGCAGTAAAGTGTCTACTTATAGGCCTCAGACATGGACGCTCAGTCCGAAAGTTTTTCGCAATAAATAAACATACGAACATGTGTGATGGATATACCACTCGTTTTATACTTTATCATGAATACCAGTCCCATGTACAAAGGCTGCTTCAGTAAAATGTCAGTATCAAAAGCTACTAGTTTTAGTTATCGAAAGTAGTTGATTATAAACAGCTGTAAAAAGCTTTTCTACTCACCAGCAATACTCTAGTAGGTTCAACGACCCATCTGTGAAAGGACTGCATTCGCTAGACACACAACCTCCCATTTTCGTTACGAGGAAAGAATACTATTCTTCGAGCTGGTTCGGCTATATCTACGGCCACGTCCAACAAGACAAGCGTACTGAAGGTTTTACTTTTAATTGCATTTATTTGATTAAATTCTTTTTAGATGCTAGCTCGTTGGAATTTGGAATTTGCGTCATTAGAAAATAAAGCAAAGGTTTTCCGTGAAAAATACTTTTAATTGTATTTATTCAAATCTCTTTTTTTCAGATGCCACCTCGTTGGAATTTGCGTCGTTAGAAAATAATAAAGCAAAGGTTTTTGGAAAAATGCGACCACGTGGGCCAGTTTTCGCATTCTCTCGGATTCTCTATTCCCTAAGAATTACTACCCGTGCGCAAAGAAGATTGATTATTTAATAGTTTCCCTCTGTGTGGAGGAAGACGCATAAAATATATTTTCAAAAATGATAATGCAACCGG